GGAAAAGAGACAAGAGTGCAGAAAATAGTTGAGTGCCATCCAGTGTGATGACAATTCACATTAGGAGCAGAGGAAAGGCTCACAGATAGGAGGAGAGGACTGCAGCAGAAAATCTGGGGAAGAGGTGGGCAGCCTAGGGCAGACAGGGAGGCACTGAACTGGGGTGGAAGGGGATCTTGGGATGCCAAGGTCCCTCCTGCAGGTCCCTTGTTTTCTCTCAGGCTGCCCATTATGGGAGCAGGGTGCTGAGGTTTGTGTGGTTTGCTCTTTCTCAGATCTGTATTTAGAGATGCCTCAGTTGAGTGTCAGGTTTTAGGTCAGAAAATAGAACTCAGAGAACCCAGCAGCTGGTGCTACAAGCACATATGTTGTGTGTGTAGGTCTGACAGGCTATCTGTCCTGAGCATGTGCAGCTGGACACTCCTTTCCCCCACTTCTGCCTCCTAACCACATGATTCTGTCCCCAGTCCCATACCTGAATATCACCTCCATGAATCGAAATGAGTGGGGGAAAGAACTTCTCAGGGTCTGGGATGTGAATCTTCAGGATTTTCTTAAACCTTGAGAAAAGAGAATGAGAAGAACAAATGAAACAGGGCCCGATCCTGATCACTCTGGCACTGTAGCAGGGGTAGGAGAGAGCACTGCAGCTCACGGATGCTACCCTGGCATACGGTAGACGTAAAATAAGAACAAGCCTCAGGGCTGTCCTTGCTCTTGAGTGGCTTGAAATGCAGTAGCTGAACAATGAGAGGTGCAGAGATGAGACAGTTAAACCTGGCATTGGAAAATACATTGCTCTCAGCCTTTTCCCTGGGGAGGGACAACCACAGTTCACTGTTTTCTTCCCTGCCTTGGCTGGTCACCTTAACCTCCCCACCTGCCCCCTTAAGCCTCTGTCCTGATTACAAGCTGAGCAGGTGTCTCTTGTTTGCAAGCTCCAGCTGCTGTGAGGTGCTTTGCTGCCACCACAATGACTCAGAGGACTGCATGGCATGAGCAGGACCATCACTGGCAAAGCTCTGCAACAGCTCTCTGCCCTCTTAGCAGGATGCTGCACTGTATAGCTGGGGCACACTGGTCATGCCAGCCATCTGTGACAGTATGCCTTGCATTAGTCCAGAGGCCTCTGCTTTACTGGAAGCAGTGTGTTGCCATCCTGAGGCACCATGTGATCTAATCTTCTCCTTAGTTCCTCAGAGAGGCTGGCTCATCCTGTCATCTCTTCGCTGAAGCTTTGCTGTAGGATGCTCTGAGGAAAGACCCTCCTGACCTCTGGAGGCAATCAGTGTACTCTCTGAAGCATCAGAATTTGCTAGTTCTTGCATATAAACATCACTGCAGATGCTATTTTTATTCATGCATGTCTAATCCTTCCTTGCATCTTACCTCAGCATTATCCTCCATTCAGTTCCCCTAGGTTAATTATACTTTGTGGAGAAAGGAGGCCTTTTTAACTCTCTCTGTGCTGTGTAGCTAGCACTTCCTCACCTTTGTGTTATGCCTCAAAGGTCATAACACAGGGTAAAAGAGTGACCAGTGACTTTCTTAGTATCCGTCTAGATGACTTTCTCAGTATCCATCTTCCTTCAACATGCTTCTCTGTCTTTCCTTGCAGAGAAACCACTAAGCCTCTGCAGCTTCATCCCTGATAATATTTCTCCCTGCCATGAACATCATCACTTGCTGCTTCACCCCTACCCTGAGATGAGAAGACTTGTGTCTGTTTCTAGCCTCACCATGCTGACAGGTCACTGTTGGTGTTATTACATGGGGTAACCTTGTGAGACACTTTCAGTCCTAAACAAAAGCAGAGCCTGGCTAGCAATGCTGGCAAAGAGGTCTTCAAAGCATCATAGAGATGTTTATCAACTTGTGAGAACTGCACAGACCAGGGAGAGGAAGAACTGTACTCCTCACTCCGGAGTTTTGCCTGCAGACCAAATATCACCATGTCCTGCCTGAGCTCTTGCTGGAGTATCTAAATGAGGAGATAGTGGTACCTAGGCTTTCTTGGTCCTTGCTACTGAGGGTGTGCTCAACCCAGTGACCTGCTTTTGAAGAGGCAGTTTTGATTCATCCCTGCCAGGAAGCAGCACTCTAACCTCTGGGCAACAGATGTGCTGAGGTAGCTGTTTTAAATTTAGCCCGGACATAGCATCAGGTCGTGGGAGCTTGGCACAATAGGAAGATGGTGGTGAAACCATATCATGGGTGGTGGTATATCTCCCCAGGCAAATATCAGCCCCAAAAGGTTGGGCTTTAAACCATATTTTAAAGTAATCTCTATCCTGAGTAATGCCAAGTGAGAAATAACCCTGGTTTTGAGAACACACACAAGAGAAAGGAGAGGAACAGAGATGAAAATTTGATTCTCGTTTACCATTTGAGGGTCCGTAAGTTAATAAGTAAGGCAGTCCCAATGGTCAAGAAGATGAAAGTGCTCACTATAAGAGCTGGCAGGACTGGGCGGGATATTTCTGTAAGAGGAGAAAGAAGGAGGAAATGGCTGTGAAAATTTAACCAGGATTCTGAAGGTAGAAGCTGCAGCCCTTTCATGGCTGTTCAAAGTGATCAAAGTGGGCCTGTGTTATAATTTTATATAATATTGCATAGAATTTAATATACAGGTCAGATACATAAGTTCTGCTGTGTTGTGCAGGATGACTTTGAGCTGATATGGGTTTCAGAGTCTAAGCATTGCTTAACAGGTAATTTGTGCTGAACAGCTTGAACCCCCTGTTCATAACAGCATCACAGCTAGGGTTTGCCACAGATGAAGTGCCACAATCTGCTGGTTGAAGTGTCCATCAACCTGCCTGTCTCGTTGCAAAGGAAACCAGATAAAATGGGATTGGAGACTTGAAACAGCATTATGAGTCAGTGAGGGGAGACAGATTCATGGGGTTCACAGGTCTCTGACAAGGCAGGAGGACAAGGATGGAGAAGGCTGGGGACCAAGGGGCTGGCTTCTTTTTTTTTTTTAGAGGTGTGGGGAAAGCTGTAGGAGACTAGGAAGGCTACAGTTTTACACCATATTTTAGTACTTGGATTGTAGGGTTAAGAGAAAGAGACTGAGTTCCCACACTGGCAGCACTGCCAGCATTCCTCAGGCTTGTTTGGCATCATCTCAAACTTTTCTTAATCTGTCTCTTTCACACAACATCTCCTCAGTGCACCTTTGCTTGGTCTTTCTATTCTGGTGCCTGTTTCCTCTGCCTGCCCCTCATCTCCCTCCACCCCTCGTGTCCCTTGGTCTGGGTGTACAGAGCACCTCTGGAGTAGTTGTGAGGGAGCAGAGAAAAATAAAAGGAGGAGACATTTTTAGTACATTCTTTCTTTGCCTGTCCTTGAGATGCTACTCAGATCACTTTGTCTCCTCTGCCTCTGGTACCCTGGTTATCTTTGGGTCTTGGTTGCTATGACAACTGGTTGCGGCTGTATCCTGTTCACTGACATCACACACTGTCAAAATTTGATCGCCACAGCAACACAGTGCCCTTTCTAAACATAGCTCCTCTGTTTATACCAACACCAGGCACAACAGGGAGGGGTTGAGCAGGGGCAGAGTGGGGGCCACATAAGAAGGGATAACCGCTATCTGCTTATTTTGGGGGGGAAAAATGACAGGGATCACAGCCAGTGACTCATCAAAGGGCACTGTCTAGGCTTGAGGTTCATGCAGTGACTGATGCAAGTCTCAGCAGACCTTTTTGGAAGGAACCTAATGTGTGTAAGTCTCTTCCATTCTCCATGAGACTTTGATTCCCAGTTCAGGAGCTGAGTGCTGTTTCAGTGCATTTCACTGCATTTCACTGATCATTATTCCAATGAACTGGGCCATTTTAGGAAACTGGATATATGTTCCTAGGTTACATTAGCACCCAGGAAAATGCCAGTCCTGGCCACTGCATTTGCAGGTCAGACATCTAGCCTTACTGTCCTGGGGAAGCAGTCTCTGATTTACATCTTGTGGGTCTTGCCTAGCTTCTGGAGGGGCTTTGCTGGGGTCATGGGGTCTTTGCTTTTAAGCACTGCTGAGCTGGCCTGACCCTAACCAACTAAGAGGGACAGGTTGTTTCCAACCTTTCTATTGCTCTTTGGTCAAGACAGTCCTCCCTATGCATCTTCTTTCAGGTTCTCAGCCTGCCCTTCTATCTTGTTTTCCCTGAATCCTTATTTTCCCCTCCAAGTCAGACTGCCTGACTGACCCTTACTGTCAGCATGTGTCCTCCACAGTATCGTCTCGCTCCAGTCGCTCCACACGCTTTTGTAGGTACTTGCAGCACTTGGCCTCGCACGGACAGCTGCCTCGTATTTCAAGTTGGGTGAGAGGCTCTCAAACTTTGCCCACATCTGGTCCTGTTCGATGGTGAAGTTCTTGGCATCCTGGGAGAAGGGCAGATTTAGAACCTCATCAACACCCTGTCTTACAGCCTCATGTACCCATCTTTTCCAAGACCCTGGGAGGAGACCTGTCTCAAATCCCTACACCTTGTGCACTTCTTGTTCACCCTGGAGGAAAATTCTTCTGCGCTTTGCTTTTTTCATCCCTTTCAGGTCTGTTCTGGAACTGTCTGAATTTTTTTTGTGACAGCACCAAGTAAAATAGGATTCCCATCTGCCTCCTTGTCATCACCAAACACTGGCAGCAGGTGATACAGATAAAAGGGTGGGGGCTGTCCTCCTCTCTCCAGCTTCACCAAAATTGGCTTAGTTCTGAGAGAAGGCCCAGGAGCAAGTCAAGTCTTGGGTGACATAAACAAGACCAGGATTCATAAGGTAACAGGTCCCAGTATCTCCTCTGTACTCACCTCCCAGGACTGACTCATGGTTCGGTAACGCACTTGGTATTCTCGCAGCCCATACAAGTAATGAGAGGAAATATTCAGGCTCCATGTTAAGTTGTAGGTGTTTTCAGTTATGCTAACCAGCTGAAGATTTCCTGGAGGCCTCAGCTTTACTGAAAAGAGAGGAGCAGTGTTGGTATCTCCACTCTGTCCATAACAGGACTGCACTTCAAGCCCCACAGCAGCAGGGCTGATGTCTTGGCTGTGCTCACAGACTCTAGACAGCCACGGCCACATGAGGTAGTTAGTGAATTCCTCCTCTTTGTTCCTCCTTTTTACCTCTGTCACTGACTGCAAAAGGCCTATTGCCTCTGGACTATGTTAAAGGCAGCTCCTCCTGTGAGCCTGTGACAATGGCCCCTACAGTCAGTGCAATCAATCCGTGTAGCCAAGCATCCCATCTTGGAGGGGTGATCCACCTGGCAATTATATGGATAGGAATGGAGCATGGCTGGGGAGACAGCTGCTTCCCAGCTTGCTTCAGCGAGCTACAGCCACAGGGGATAGAATTACACAGGCTGTCTAGGCTGATCCTTCCCAACCCCTGACTTCAGCTATGCCCTCTTATGCCTCGTGTTGCAGTGGCTCTATTTTATATCTCCTTGAGACAGGTAAACTCACAGAAAAAAAATGTCCCAAGCAGATGTTTTTCTTCTGGATTAGTGAGTTGAATCCATTCAGCTAAACTGATGCATGCTAGAGGTGGCTTAAAGGAGGGTGGAAGCACAGATCCAGTAGGAGGGACAGAGGAAGAACAGTAAGACTTTCCCTCCTTCTTGCAGCACACATTTTTCAGGAGTGTGGCTGAGCTGTCATTGCCTGTTTGAAGCCAGAACTCCTAGTGCAAAGCACTCTCATTTAACAGTGTCCCAGATAAAGGGAAGGACAGGATATGTATGGAACTATACTACATGATAGAGATACAAGTAGCAGAAATCAATGTGGTTTACCGGTGCTCATTGTAGCAGAGGACAAGCAAGAGACACAAGCCTAAAATCAGCTATGGGTATTGTTTAGGGGTGGATGGGGAAGAGAAGTTACCTATCCTTTCATGGGGAGGCTTCAGAGACTAGAAGACAGATGAGTACTCACTATTTGCAAATGGATTGAAATCTTCTATTCTCACGGGTATAGACTTATTGTCTCCAATCTGACAAAGGACAGACATGGTAAGACGGTCTGAAACAGTGAAGCATTGAGTCTGCAAGGGAAATTAAACACTGGTAACAATGAAGTCTCATGAATAAGCATAAAAATTTCTAAACATTACCCATGTATAAGAAATTTAGGAATACTTGACAATAAATATGGAAGATATTTGTGGCTGAAAGGCATAAACCTCAGTGGTGAGTGAGAAACAAAAGATTTATGATTCATATGGTTGGATTTATTTTTTTTAATAGGTGAGAAGGGTGCAAAATCTTGTGATGTGCTAGTTTGCTAGGATTCCTGTATGTGCTGACTAAGCAGGAAAAAAGCTGCTCTCTCTGAGTGACATTTATCAAGAAAAATTATTTTAACTAAACAGGTGAGATTGAGACAACATTAAATATTACACTTGAAATGCAATGGTACTGAAGGGCCACATACATCACGCAGTACTGAATAAGCAATAGGGAAATTAGCTTGATTAGGAAGAAAAGATTTTAGAGCTATTTACCAACCCTGCAATTTGTCTTTGCACATGATATGCAAATGTAAGAAAGCTTGTCTGTCATTAGAACTGGCTGTGACTTTATCAATAAGGAGAATTAGCTCATATTTGGGTGGGTATTTTCTGAAAACACAGGGACTGCAGTAACTCTGGATATGACTGAAGGAAGTACATAATGAGTCTAAAATAAGACTGATTTAAATAAGGAATAATAGAAGATTTGCATCACCATTAGCTCCAGTGATGTGTTGCTGTTGTATTTTATATTTGACACATCTAACCAGACTTTGCAGTAGTTAATGATCTGGAAAATGGTATTGACCTCTTCAAGGAAAAAGAGATCATGAGGTGACCTCAGAGGTAGTGGTGATGCTCATCCCTCCTCAGAGGAAGGGAATAGGGCCAAACCCTGAGTAACTGAGACAAGGGACACTGCATAGGGTCTGTCTGCCCTGCATCTTTTCTGTGTGTGCCAGGACACCATGGCCCAGCAATGATGCTAATCCCTCCCACAGGGGAACCCACAGGAGAAATGCCTGTCAGCAACACACAACACCAAGCCCAACACCAGAACTGGAGTCAAGGATTAAGTTTGGGCTTTTTATACTGCTCCGAGGTGTCACACTGTTTATACACCCAAAATACTCATCCAAATCCTTTCCACCTTATCATTAGCCAGAGCATCCCAGATGTATTACTCACATTGCTCTTTTGGTTGAAGATCTTGATGCATCGCCTCAGTCCTGTCATGTGTTCTACTTTGGGTAATTCACAGTACTTCTTGTAGTCTTCAGGTAAGGAAATTGACCCCTGAGGACTGTTTTGTATTTAGTCAAACATTATGTAGCATTAAAGGGCTTTCAAAGCATTTTGCATCCTACTATCTGTATTTGCTGAACAGACTGCAGGGAGGATTTAATCCTACCTTCCTACCCCATTGCATCATCCATAGAAAGTCAATGCATCCCAGCTATTTCAAGCCAAAGCTAACAGTAGATTTCCAGTTTCAAAGACTTTGCAAAACCCTCTTCCTATCTTCTCTGCTTCCTGTTGATATCAGAGAACATTCTGCCCACAACTGTGCCAACACAGCCCTGCAAGACATGTCTGTTTCAGCCCCTCTAGGATTTAGAGGTCTCCTTCAAGCCACTGACAGTCCTGTAGGATCTCAGATACCAAGTGAGATGTACCTTCTGAACCAGGTCACACCCCAGTCAGCCAGGACCAAACATCCACTATACCATAACCTCTCTTCTGCTCTGACAAACGTGGCTGGACAGCCTATGCTGAGCTATGGCACAGGAGGTCACAGGGTGGGAGAGCATCTGTGGGGTAGCAACTGAGAGGGTATTTGACTGAGGTGCCTGCTCCAGCTGTAAGGTCAGGTCAGGCCTGGACTTGCTAACAGTGGGGAGAGGTGTAGTCCTAGAGACCTGATCAAGCAATGGCATAGTTCCGGATCCCTCCCAGATTCCAACCCCAGTTTCTGTGATTCACACCCATGAAGCAACATAACTGTTTTAGTTTTCTCGGTCCATGCACCACGGTCCAGGACATATTTGCCCATTTAACCCCATTGGAGATGTGTCTATGACAGTCAGAAGTAACCCACCCACTGCCAGAATCACACTAAGCCTCTCCTTATGACAGGCACCCAGGGCAGTCCTGGGGTAGGCTGGTAAGCCTCTTGGCTACAGATGTCCTATATGGAGATGACAGAGACTCAGACCGCCCCCACTGTGGTACCGACACCTCCCCTCTGCTGGAAGGCACATGGGAGAAGAAAATATCTTGAACGGAGAGAGATGAAAAGGCCAGGGGAGAGAAGAGGAATAATATTTTCCTTCATTCAGGGTGCAACACCTCAGCTCATCCTGGAAATGGGAAAATGGTCTCTGTACAACTTCAGTTCCACCCTTCTCCACCCCATCACTATATATCCTCCTTTTGCACTGAAAATGCCTTACAGTCCAGAGGGTAACTACCAAGGAAGAGGGATTTTTTTGAGAATGAAGCATAGATAGAGCCATGGATCTGGAAGATGGGTTGTGATAGATGGTTTGGGGCTGTCCGACGGCAAACACTGAGCCGTGTTTGCCAGCATCTCAGCCCACATGGGGTTAGAGACAGAGTTCAAGACAAAGCACCTCAGCTCTGTGACTCCACTATACCTGGCCTGGGGAAGGGGAGCCTAGATTTTTCTTTAGTGGCAAACTTTCCAGTATATTTTTCATTCAAAGCATTGGCTTTCCTCAGCCTCTTCAGTCACCCACCTGTCACAGAAACCTTGCTCTGATAAAATCTCCAGCTGGCACGGTGCTTCAACCAGTTCCCTGTCTGTGTTCCAGTCACAGAAGAGAGCTGCCTGTGAGTCATACCAACAAGTTAGGTTGGACGTGCCTGCCACCAGAGAAGAGATGGACAGCAATGTGTGTTAATTAGCAAAGATTTTTGGCATTAACCATCACTCGGAACAATTCTACCCCATCCCAAACTATAGACTGACTCCTCTGCTGCATAACTCCAAGTAAGAAAGACAGAGCCACTCACTTCTCTATGTCCTTGGAGGCTGATGTGTTCATAAGAGACCTGTAACTATTGCAGCCTCTTCTGGTGTGTTACAGCACAAACATTGCACAGCAACACACCGTGGCGCACACACTCTTCTGGCTGACTCCCCTCCCTGATTTCCCAGCTGGCATGGGTGAAAGGAATATCTTCTTACCTTGTGCCAAGTCTGATGCCCGTGAGGGACGCATGAGGCTGAACAGGCAGAGATGAGACAGAAGCAGCAGTGAAGACTTCATCTGTCCTGATGACATACTGAAAGAGAGAAGACACCCCCTCCAGCATAGCTCACAATGCAACTTAGGAAGATGTCAAGATGTCATCTCACAGGAGGCATCCACTGTCCTAGGGCAATGGTTAAAGCCAGTGCCAGCCTTCTAGGCTCAGAAATGCATATCCCTTCCTCTCCGGAGTCTGTGCTTTTTCCTCAGCACCTCATTGTTTTCCTGGCTTGGGTGCTTTGCTCAGCAGTGAAACTGTTTGCAGGGCAGCACAGATAGGTTATTTGCAGGAGTCATGCCTTCTGGAAATGTGTGAGTGAGTGCACAGCGGTCTGTGTTGTTTCAGGCTGCTGCTGACTCAGGTAGAGAGTGCTGCCTTGGTTGCACACAGCTTGTGCTTTGAAGAGCTCTTTTTTTTTGGTAAGCCCTAGGTCTGAAATAACTAGGTGCTTGCTGAGTAAGAGGGGTCTCTGGCTGCCACTGACAAAAGTTAGTTGCTTATGGTTTAGGAGGCAGATTTTGGATAGTGTGTTTGGGACAGGGGGAATCAGATAGAAGAAATAGTTTGCCAGGTTCTGGAAGGTCCAGGTTTCACCATAACACAAAATATTACATAGTTATGCACAAACTATGCACCATCCTCACTAAGTAGCCCTTGCACTGCCTTGGAAGGAGTCATGCTTTTAGGTATATCAGAAAACTAGGACTTCGTAATAGGGAAGCACATCTCATCCACCCGTGGCACACAGGGAGTCTCCTTGCCTTACAGAGTCTGTACAGCCATGCTCCATATTAGACAGACTGAGCTTATGTGCTTCTCATCCAAGCCTCCCTCTCTCCCCATCCACCTGGACACCCACACCTTGAGATCTGTCTCTGCCCACATGGAAAGGGACCACTCTCACCTCTCACCAAGCCTGGAGCCCAGGCAGATCTGAGCAAAGCAAGCTGGAGTCCTGCAGGACCCTGTTGGGACTGCCGGGGGAGTGGGAAGAGAGGATTTATAAAGGGCTAGCCTGAGGCATAATACCAGTTCCCGTCATGATAAAAAGATTAGGTTCAGAGGAAAAAAACCATGACGACAATGCATTAGCAGACAAAGGGGAGAGAGAGAGAGAGAAAGCGGGTGGTGTGGTTGTGAGATGTGGGGTATGATTTGAGAGAATTGTGGAGAGACATAGAGATAAATATGCACTGAGCCCTCCCCAACAGTGAGATTCAGTTTGTCAGACTGAAACTCCTTCCAAGATGCTTTTCAGATCAGCCACCCCCGTGTGGGAGAGCTAGCATTATTGCCCCTTTACCTTCCAGCTCCAGTCACCAAGCGGTCCAGATGAATGGAGTCTCCTGGGGTCCTGAGGTTGGATGGAAGGAGATGCTGAATGTCAAACAGTGAGGGGAATTGGGAGAGGGGAAAGGAAGAGGGATGGAGGCAGATATCCTAGCTCAGTGCATGTCCATGAGAGGAAAGGTGCCTCCAGCCTAGCAGTTCTGCTCCAAAGCCGTTCCTCTCATATGTGTGGTCTCTCTCTGCCTTCTCTGTCTCACCTTTGCACAGGAAGCTGCTGCTTGCATGCCTTGTCAGACTGAGACAAGGCCCCAAAGTATCGAAAAGGCTAGAGGGGCCGAGAATAAAAAGCCCCAAACCACGTCCTACTTCCTGCTGGTACAGCAATAGGTGAAGAAACAAGGGTGGAGGGGTCAGGTGTTAGTTTGCAGGGCTTAGATATACTGGGAGAAGTTTCAAACCACTGCTGGGAAGCAAGAGAGAGAGAGAAAAGGACCAGTCCTCCTGGGACACTGGCAAGAGACCCATGGCTTCATCTTTCAGACACCCAAAGAGATCTGTCATATATCTCTCTCAGGGTCTGCACAAGTTTACAGATCACTTTGAAACCAGGGACAGGAGTCTATCTAGAATATGAATAGCATGGACCACTTCGTGAAAAATAGCTCGAGTCATTGACCTGAGCAACACCAGAATGAAACCAGCCTCCACATCAGTGCCCCAGTTTCAGAAGATCCATTCTGGGTCAGAGCCAGAGTGGAATGAGGGCAGTGCTGAGTGTGAACAAGTTTGAGTCGCACACTCACACTTGCAGATGGTGTGACACCACAAGAACATCCATACCATAGCCTCCCTATCCAGCAAAGCACCTCACTTGCTTCACAGAAGGAAGGATCACCCATCCAACCTGAGCCTTGCAGCCAGTCCAGATAGGCAACACCACTCCACAGTACCTGCAGTGCCTGTTTGGCATGTCTTGTCTATCCAACAGGACAGACATAAATACAAAACATATTTCCACCTTCTTCCAAAGCTTTATGTGCCCTCATCTTTGCAGGGAGACAACCCCTTACCTTGCCTTCACATCCCAAGCCAAGGCACCAATACAAATCCACAGCCTAGTGGTTGCCTGGTTCACAAATAGGTACAGACCTGCATACGTGTCCCCACAGCTTTCTCTTTTTTCCATACACAAATACAATTCTCTGAAGTGCAACACATCACGTTTCCTGTCTGGTCTGGGCTGCACGATGATGGCCACTGGTGTGGGGTCAGATGATGAGAGTCTCCTCATACATATACAATGGTCACCATACTCTGTGCTACTCACCTTTCTTTCCCAGAGGAGCTCAAGGCCCAAGCTCAGGTCTGGCAAGAAAGTTTTTCTGGACAAAAGTTGCCAGGGGCTAATCTCAAGTTTCCAGGCAGTTCCTTTTTGAGGACTCTATAAACCCACAGGATGGGACCTCCTTCAACAACAAAGGGATCTTGGTTTCAGGTAGTGGAAAAAGGGTGTGGGAGGAGGATGAGTTTTCAGTTACAGGAAGCCCAGCCCAGAGACTGGATCTCTGAAGATACTAGGCCTCAAAAAGAAATAGTGTTGGAACAAATCCATAGTTTGAAGGCATGAGTAGAGCCATTTTGCAGGAGATTGCACTAGTGGATCCTCTTGGCCATTTCTGGGAAAGCACTGCAGTTAATCCAGCACCAAACATTCACCTAGCCAGTGGTATTGGGGTGCTCACCTCTTTCTTCACCACACATGACAAGGACCAGGAGTTTGAGAGGTGTCATTTGGATGCCCTTGCTAGTCATCTGAAGACTTCTTCCATGGCCAATCTTTGGGAAAACAATGGGAATCTGACCCACCAGCCTCTGTTGAAGAGGAGCAGGGGAGAGGATGGGCTGTGTGCTCTCCTGCTCTGGTAATCTTTGGCTGTGTATGCTGCACCTTGGAGGCTCCCACCAGGGTGGAGTTGCAATGGTATGGATCATCAGGCCACAGCCTGCCTTTCCTAGGAACTCAAAATGAATGCAGCTTACTCTGGCACAGAAGTCCTCAGGTGAAGAAATGAAGTGCTCTGTGAGTAAGTTCTTGATATCAACAGCATTGAAGCTGCAATGGAGCATTCATGTTAACTGTAATTTTTCATGTTTGTCCTTCAGACTGGAGAAATCTGCACCTTCCTTAAGACCAGACATCACTTTGGGAAAGCAAGAGCACAAAGTACCCGTTTTTATTGTTCAACTTATCAAGGGAAATACACTGATTCCCTTCCCCACTTTTTTCTTTTTTCTTTTTTTTTTTTTATGCATAAGAATCAGATGAGATTGGTTGTGCACTGTGATAACTGGAATAGTGGAAGAGGAAAATTTAACATGTCCCTACAAAAGATGAGTGGCTGCTGTAGTTGGAAACAAGGATTTATCTCATCAGCCAACACTGGAGACTTCTGTTTTCTGCATCCATGTCTCTATGATAGATTCTCATGCAGACTTTCCACTGTCTAGTAAGGACTGATGTCACATTGAAGACTTTCCTAATGAGGATCCCAATGGAGAGTCAGCACTCCTCTATCCAGTCACTCTTGCTTAATAGTAGTAAGTGACTAGAATTGATTGTCTTGCTTACCATGCCTGTCCATTGATTGACTTTTCCTTGTGAAAGGAGCGGGAAAGGTGTGATGGATCAGCTAACAGACAGCCAAACCCCAATGTGTGGAGACACCAACTGCCTCAGCATATTTCCATTGGAAACACAGTTTAAAACATACTGAAGCAGCAACTGTGTGGGCAGAATAGGGAAGGGTTTCCTACAGAGGCATGATAATGATATTATGTCCTGACCCCATCTGGCACAGATAAATATACTTGCTGTCAGCGCAGTTTTTGGACTTGATTGCCCAAATGTTGTGCTACTGAAAATTCGGCACTTTTTATCTCCTTTACACTGATATTGTTAGGAATTGTGCCATTTGTAATGTGAGGAGCCAAACAAAACCACATTGTCAGCAACACATGAGGTATTCTTGTCATTACCTTCCTGTCCCCATAATGGTGATGGAGAAGGGTGAACTCGGTAGTCTGTCTTGTTCAGTGTTAAAGTGGCAGGTAAAAGTGTGGTGATGGAGGTTTGGTTAATGGTGTTGTTTGGGCCAGATTGGTGTTTCAGAGCACATTTTAAAATCCTTTAGACCGAGGCATGTGCTTGCACACAAACTTCTCTTTTTCCCCTCACTCTGCTTTTGCTAGAGGAGAGCAGTGCTGCTGAAACTGCTAGTTTTCATTTGCGTGTCCACTGGGAGTGTCTGCAAAATGGCAGAGGTGAACAGGAGAACAGAGACACTGAAGAAGTGTGAAATGCAAAAGTATTGTGTGGTGTCAAATTATCCCACTATTCATCAACTCACTGGGTGTCATTAGGCTGGGCATATCCCTTCCCTTTGCTGGCTCTCAGCTGGGACCAGAGTGCCAGGCTAACTAGGATGCCTGGCCTGAGGTTGGCAAACCACTCAGCTCACCAGGGGTGAGCTCTCTCCAGTAGATCTCTCTTGGCATCCTGTCCCCATGGCCCTCTGGAGTGGAGCAGTGGAACTGGTGCAGAGCCACCGGGAGATGAGAGCAGAGATGCCCTGATGGCCACCAAAGTTCTCTTCCTGACAGGATACACTGTGAAGATGTCTAGACACTCTCTAAGTTATTTTTGGTACTTTCCAAATAATGTTGTTTT